AATTTTTTCAACAAACATTTTAAAAAGTTACAGTATCAAAATTATTTCTTATTTTAAGTAGAAAGACTATTAGAGCATTTAAAAGTGTCTTTAATGCTTGAGTGATTTTAATGCTTTTTATCAAATGTACTTATTTTCTCATGGTGACAAAAAAAATTATCTACGTGAAAATTATTTTACAAAATCAATTTCTGAGTGATCTGTGTAGGGTGAGATTTGTTATGTAATTTTAAATTTAGCGGCGGCAGAATACCTAAAACAAATATTGAGTAGGTAGGTATATAGTTGTAGAGCGTACAACTAGATGGCGCTTGCATCTTTTACCGGCTACAGGTAATTTAACTCACTGTATTACCGATAATTCCTAGAAAAGGAAAGCAATAGAAGTTGGAGAAAGTGTCAACAGTTAGCGTTGTTAATGACCACGAAATTTGTTCAAGTTTCCTATCTATAGTATCATTTATCTAGGATACCAACTTTCATTACTCTAATTTCAATAATAAAAGAGGCATAGAAGAAATAAGAAAAGTCAAGTTATCAGATTTCTCAGCTTATTTCAAGAAAGGTGCAATTTATCTCCGATTTCTTTTCAGAAGACAAAAAATGCATTCAGAAAATATGCAACTTTTTTGTAATTTAACTAACCCTGTAAATTTTCTATACAGGTATCTAGGAAAGTACTGCTCCGAAAAATTTTAAAATTTGGTAACATGGCAATGTCCCTGGGGCGAACACAACTAAAATATCTAGAACTCTAGCACTTCCGGTTATATTGAAAGACACTAACTTCGTTATTTTAAATGGGACACCCTATATATTATTGCATTTTCTGATTCTATGTGAAATTTGAGGGTCACTTTAAATATTAGGGTCACTAGGAGTTATAGATTTTGAGATATTAATTTTTAAAGAAAAAATTTGACTGATGCAAGAGTCCGCGGAGATGCTAGTAACTCTTTTCAGTAGTGTGATATCAAGAGGATTTTTGGTACCTGTAAAGGGCATGGGTAACGCTAAGTTCTGGTATACAAACAAATTAAAATATTTAATACTAGGTGTTTCATTTTTGCCGTTACATCTTGATAACTTCAAACAGCTATAACTGTTAATTTAAATAGAACACCTTGTATTTTTTTACTCTGTTGTATGCAGATTGAAATTTCCTTTCAAGCCATATAGGCATCGTTAGGGTTGCTGTTACTACTTTTAGAAATATTTGCAATTTCCTATTTTTTTAGACACTTTTTCTCGTATCAGACATGTTGTCAAATTGGCCATGTCCAAGGCCGTAGCCAGGGGGGGGGGGATCAAGGGGGATTGATCCCTTTCCGAAATGATGTAAAAAGAAAATATTTCTTTTAGTAAGATTAGAATTAGACATGTGGCGGATAAAATGGCTGGAAGAATCTGAACTAGATCGACCAACATGTGCTATTGAAGCTCTCGGAGAATGCAACCAGGCCTTGTTTCCAAACATTCACCAACTTTTAAAGATCTTGGCGACACTGCCTGTTTCCACATGTACCCCTGAGAGGACTTTCTCTTCTCTGAAACGCCTCAAAACTTATTTAAGAAACTCCACAGGCCAGGAAAGACTAAACGGTTTGGCGTTAATGTCAATCCACCGCAGAATTGACATCGACACCGAGGAGGTAATTGATTTGTTCGCTGCAAAGAAAGCTAGAAGACAAAATTTAATTTTGAGATGTTAATATTTCTGTAATGGTTTTCTAATAAATATTATATATATATGATAAGTAACACCATTTTATTGGCTACGGCCTTGGCCATAACCAGAAACACTCCAAAACAATTAAAATAACTTGACATTTGTCAAGTTAATTGTCAAATTATTGTTATGTCTGTAATAGTTTTTGCTGAAAATTTAAATAAAAATGCCTGGGGATCGTTTAAATTATACTTATGAGGATTATTTTAATTTGTTTGTTATTTATGGAAAAAAGCAATAGATTCTCTATATGTTCTTGAAATTACTTTGTCACATTTCCATAAATAACAAACAAATTAAAATAAACATCATTAGTTAATTTAAATGATCCCCAAGCATTTTTATTAAAATATTCAGCAGAAACTATTACAAACGTAACGATTATTTGACAACTAACTTGACAAATGTCAAGTTATTTTATTTGCTTTGGAGTGTTTCAGGTCATAGCCAATTTGACAACAGGTCTAATATGAGAAAAACTGTTCAAAAAATAGAAAATTGCAAATATCTCTAAAAGTAGTAACGGCAACCCTAACAATGCTTATATGGCTTGAAAGGAAATTTCAATCAGCATACGACAGAGTAAAAAAATACAGGGTGTTCCATAATTTAGTTAACACAGTTATAGCTGTTTGAAGTTATCAAAATGTAACAGCAAAAATGAAACACCTAATATTAAATGTTTTAATTTGTTGATATACTATAATTTAGTGTTACTCTTGTCCTTTGCAAGTACCAAAAATCCACTTGATATCACGCTCATCCTGAAAAGAGTTACTAGCATCTCCGCGAACTCTTGGATTTGTAAAATTTTTTCTTTAAATATTTATATCCCAAATTCTGTAACTCCTAGGTATAGGGAATATTTAATAAAGTGACCCTCAAATTTGACGTAGAATACCAAAATATAATAATATATAGGGTGTCCCATTTAAAATAACGAAGTTGGTGTCGCGTTCCGGTATAATCGGAAGTACTGGAAAGATCTAGAATTTTAAAATTTTTGGAGCAGTACTTTCCTAGATGTCGATCGACGCAGTTTCCGGTGGGACACCCTGTATAGTTCAGGAGATACCACAGAGTACCCAATATTGGGTACTCTGTGGAGATACTAACAGATAAGATACTAATGATGTACACCTTAAAAGTGACCCTGTATACTAAAGACAACCAATATCAAAAACAAAACTTGTACACAGTTTTCATATCTAGGTACTTAATTTCAAACATTGAATTTTAATTGTTTTTAGCACAGATGAAATTAAATAATGTATTTAAGCATACCATTGTACTCACAAGTTTAAAAATGCATTAAATTAAAATTTTAAACGAGTTATAATTTAATATGTAAAAGATCACAATATTTTTTTTTTGTATTCAAAGACTAACTGACTCATAGGGTCACTCCTATAGTTTATTTCAGAATTTCACATTAGTGACAATAATACAAAAATGGGACCAGTCATAAGCAAATCATTTTTGACGTGACCAGGTAGTTTGTTTGGAACAGTTATTTTATTTCCGTCATGGTAAAAATAAAAAATATTAAAATAAGTCGATCGAGATGACGTTAATAGTTATTTTTGTATCTAGTGCGCGAAATGCTACTTTGGTGATCGAGAATTGAATTTTTTAATGAGGCGAAGCCGAGTTAAAAAATTATTTGAGGCCACCAAAGTAGTTCGCGCACGAGATGCAAACAATATTTTTTCTACAAACGTCAAAATCTATCTCTTAAAAATATTATAAATAAGTAAAATGCCTAATTTATTATAGAAAATAGTGTTTTCACTGTTACTATGGAAACAAAGTGGCTGTTGTTGACAACAATAATAACGATTAATCTTAATATTGTAAATAATAACTAAAGTTATTGTAAAATTATATCATTATTTTAAAAGTATTTAATTGTTATTCATTTAAAAATAAATAATAATTTGGAGTTTTGCTTCATTTTTTCAAAGATTGAAATACAAAACTCTTATTAAGCACGGTGTCATGGTAACGTAAGAATCCGAAAAAAAGTGTCACTTCGCATATTGTTGTCAATGCGCAAACCTTGTCATTTTTTGACGTTTGTAGAAAAAACACATTATGTTTAGCCGGCTGTGATTGGTGCAATTTTTCACGAGATTCTATTCAACCGATCAACGATCGTATTATCTGAAGCATAGACGTATCTGTTTGTCATTGTTGATTGTAAACGAAATAATATTGGTGACGCCAAGATTTAGGGAATTTTCGTTACCAGTACCAGCCCTGCAATGGTATAAAATATAACGATTTGGAAGGGATATCTATTTTTCATTTATTAATCAAGTTTGAATTAAGATTTAAATACTTTTATGCCGTTTTAGTTAAAATAAATTTTTTATCTAAGAAAAATAAACAAGTTTTTTGCATACTTAAAACAAAAAGCATTGAAATAAGAAAATTTTTTACCTTGAAATAAATTTTAGTGAGCAGCATAAGATACCTACTTCAATTCAAATTCAATATTTGATGCATTGTTGCCAAACCTACTCTAAACCTATGTACATTGCACGACTGGTATTGGTAGCAAAAATTTCCCTAAATCTTAGCGTCACCAATATTAATTATTCGTTTACAACTAACAATGACAAACCGGTACGTTTACGCTCGAGAGAATGCGATCGCTGATTCGTTGAATAGAATCTCGTGAAGAATTACACCAAGTACAGCCGGCGGTGAAACAGAATGTTGTGTTTTAATGTAATATTGTTCTGTTATTTTAATTTTACCGAAATTTAATTGCCAGCATAAAGGAAATAAAATTACTGTTCCCAACAAATAAATTACTGGTCACGTGGCTTGTAATTATTTTGCGTATTGTATGAACTATATTTAAGTGTCATCGTTTTATTATATTTCATGGGTACCTATTTGTAGTATAAAGGAACAAACCTGCTAAAGATAAAATTTGTAAATTGCGCATTCCACATAAATGTTGCAGTCCAAAATCCCTTATTTGCGAACACCAACGTAAATATAAGGATGATAAAGATAACATTGTCGAGATATATCCAATTCCAATATCCGTTATATGTACACATCTGAAAAAAATAAAACAATGCTTTAGGTGGGATAAATTAAGAAAAAATAAACATTTTTGATATAAATCTGAAAAATATTTACATTTATTTTGTTAAACGCCCATATTTTTCATAATCGTTTGAATATACAGGGTGTCCCGGTACTTGATACAAAAAAATCGAGTACAAATAGATGAGATGAAAATAATATCAGTTCTTCATATAGGTAAATTTTTTTCATATGGGCTTTCGTTAACAAGTTACGAGTCTTCAAAGGTGAAAATTAAAAAGTTATTTTTATTTACAGTCTCTAAACTATTAACCATAGAAAATTGAATATAAATTTTTCTATGACTATTAACTTCAGCATGATGCTTTAGTGCTCGATAACACATGCTATCAGCTTATTTTTGGTGTTGTAAGTGAAACTTCATTTTGCCCAAAACGCCAGAGACGGACTATGCCCAATGGTTAACAACCCAGAATTTTTGCATATATGATAATCGTAATCTGCCTACATAAAAAATAAATTCCCTGAATTTGCCAACGATAATACCTTCTTGGATCAACTCGGTAAAATTAACAGTTTAGGAAATATTTGTGATTTTATGTCAAAATGCACATCGAGCAAATTTCACCATTTTTTTGTTTTTAATTTTTAATTGGATAGGTATAATTGCTATGTTAGAACCGTACATATTTTTAAAATAAGAGCCTAAAATATTTTGCTGTCTGCTAATGTAATTTTCACTAACAAAATTTGATAAACACACTTTACACATAACACAAAATAGAAAAAAAAAACAAGAATCAGTTAAAAAAAATAGTTTAAAAAAAACTATCAAAATCCATTTTCAATATGGACACCTTCCACCTCCACACACTTCCTATGTCTAGAATGTTATTTGTTTGTACACGAAAAAGCATTTCTGGGGTACCTATGTCTGATATTATCACAATGGAAATTAATTCTTTGTAGCAATTCATCCCTTGTCTGTATTGGGGTTGAGTACACTAAACTTTTCTGGTATCCCTACAGGAAGAAGTCAATCGGGTTTAAGTCTAGAGAACGTGGTGGCCATGAAATTGGGCCTCCTCTCCCAATTCATTTATTATTAAAGACAATGGATAAATAGTTTCGTACATCAATATTGAAATGGGGAGGAGCCCCATCGTGCATGAAATCAAATGTTTCTTCGGGTGTCTAATGGAACATCGTCTAATGGAACATCGTCTAATAGTAGCTGCAAATTATTTTGCAAAAACTCCAAATATCGGTATCCATTCAGACGTTTTTCAAAAACGTATGGACCTATTATTTACTATTCTTGCCCATACATTAATAGTAGGTAATAATTTAATAACATAGTAATATGTCCAATTAAAAATTAAAAACAAAAAATGGTGGAAGCGCCGCTCGATGTGCACTGTGACATAAAATCACAAATACTTCCTAAACTGTTAATTTTACCGAGTTGAACCAAGAGGGTATTATCGCTGGCAAATTCTTCAGGGAACTTATTTTTTATGTAGGCAGATTACGATCATCATATATGCAAAAATTCTGGGTTGTTAACCAATGGGTATAGCCCGTACCTGGCGTTCTGGGCATAATGAAGTTTCACTTACAACATCAAAAACAAGCTGTACGCATGTGTTATCGATCACCAAATTTTCATCATGCTGAAGTTAATAGTTAGAGACTGTAATTAAAAATAACTTTTTAATTTTCACCTTTGAGGGCCCGTAACTTGTTAACGAAGGCCTGTATGAAAAAAATTATATGAAGAACTGATATTAGTTTGACCTCATCTATTTGTACTCGACTTTTTTATATCAAGTACCGGGACATCCTGTATATATTTAATTTAGACATCAGATGCTGCTTTAACAAAAATAAATAAATTGTGAACATTAGGAAAACTATCAGATTTGTCCTACTTAATTTCGCGCGGCTTAAATGCTACGCCACTGTATGCAAAAAAAATTGACATGACGTAAGTTTGTGGACTCAAATATTAAAAGTATACACACTATATAGAAATTGTTGCAGTTAAAAAAAATCAATCAATTTTTTTTAATTTTTAGACTGCTGAATTTATTGTTACTTACCTGTCTAGTGTTAGTTCTTCTAATTGATTGAGGTCGCATGCTATACACTCCAAGGCAGCATCGGTGATTCTAGGACACCAGGAGAGATCCAAGGATCTTAGTTTCTGCAGATTTTCGGCTATAAGCTCTACTCCGTCATCCGTGATTTTACTACACCCTGATAAACTTAGCACTGTTAAATTCGGTAGCGAGTGAACTGCAAAAATAAACCTATTAATTACGTAAAATTGGAAAAGGTAGATAATAATTTAATTGAAAAAGAAATAAATAATGTTTTTAAAACATTTTAATAGGCTCTTTAAACAATTTGTGGGATAGTAAAATTAAAACTTAAATTCACACAACAACAGCTTATTTTTGTTCTATTAGTTTTGTACCAATAAAATGGATAAGAAAATTTGTTAGTGCATTCTTGTTTTGACACCTAATTATTGTCTATATCATATACAAAATGCAGTGGCGCAATATATCGATAATAACTAGTACTCCAGTCGAATTAGATCATAAAAACAGAAAAATCTGAAAAAATTGTTAGTAGACATTTTATTGCACTTTATGACGGTAGAATGATAATATCAAAAAAGTAACTCGAAAGAAGTGACGCTTAAAAATTGTTTCCTACGGTTGTAAGAACAATTGTACAACACAAAGCTGTAGCTGCAGAAAACACACGGCTTGAAAGGTATGATTTGCAAAAATTGCCATGGCCAATCGTGAGAATACGTAGAGAAACCTATAAACGAGAAACTGCAGATGATACCTACCGAAGAATTTACAGAAAGCATTTTTGAAGAGACAGATTTCTTACAAGACGAAGAAAATCGTGATAAATTAATTCCTGCCAAAAAAAGTAGAATTGAATAACAGTAAATCAAAAGTTTTTATAATAAGAATAACAGTTTTTATTTTAATAAATATAAATAATTATTTCTTTGTATTCTTTTACAGTCCCCTAGAAATTTTTAAAAGGTACATATTCTTGCAGAAGTAATTTTTTCGTCGAGCTACCCCACATTAAAAAAAAAGAAAGTTCTACGTTACATAGAAGCTGATATATTACAAATTTGACATTGTCCAGTTTTTTCCTGGTTGAAAGGAAGATCCTCCCACCACCACTCCCTGAAGGGCTACTGCCGCGTACCCTTACTTTGACGAGCTCTGGATTGATCAATTATGGGCAAATTCAATTAAAATTAACAATGCATAAAGTTTAAACCTTCATTTACAAAATGTTAAAATTTCAGGTCTTAATAATGTTTATAACAAATTGTTCTGTGATTTAAAAAAATTGCTAACTTTGGACCTATTGGTCGTAGACACTTTTTTTTCAATTTGTAGTTTTTTTACAAGCTTTCGAATGGCGTATATAACTTCCTTCAAAAGTTAAAAACGGCGGAGATATTTTATTTGTTTATTAGGGAAAAAAGTGCCTTTTATTTGGTAACATATACAACTAAATTTGAAAAAAAAAAAAAATTAAAATTTTAACTAGAGGATACTTGGTGTCCCTTCGAAGAAAATGGGCCCAAAAAGAATGTTTTAGTCATGACCCTACCCCGGAATAGTTATTTGAAAATGGGCCTTTTTTGCAAAAATGTGATAAATAAATGGAATTTTGCAAAAACTATTTGACCCATCGAGCCCATCTTTTGCACATCTCTTAAGGATATAAAACTCACATTTTGGGAAAGTTTCGTAAGATTTTATTAATTATTTAAAAAGTTATTAAAAAAAACACTTTTTCCGTTTAATTGTGCAATAATTTTTTTTATAAAGTAATTTTAACTTATAAAGTCTCTGGATCAAATCGTCTTGAACATTTTTTGCTAAGATTAATAGTTTTTTTACAAAAACGCGTAGAACGAAAAATGACGAATTTGTTGATAAAAAACAATGACGCTATACTTTTTCCATAACCCATTTGATGAGACGCCTCTTTTATTATCATTTCCAAGACTTTCCAACAATAAAATCACGCCCAGTAATTAATAAATTTCAAAATGTTTCCTTTGCTGGTCTATATTGGGAACAAAGAGGCGTAGATGATTTCTCTTTTTTTTAAAATAGGCATGAAGACAGATTTTGAAAAACTGTTCTATGATGTTCGGATGTATTTACTATGTCCAAAAAATATCTTATTTCTGTAGAAAATAAAAGATTTAGTAGAAAAATATTGACATTTTAATTTTATGTCTAAACTCACGGAAAACGGTCGCCGGTGTCATGGCGTCTACGTGACGTCACATCTATGTTTGTCAACAGTAAACATAAGGTGCTAATATTTTGTGTTGCAAGATTCATTAGTTAAATAAAAATACAAAGTTACCATAATAGTACATGCATTTTATTTACCTTCAAATTGTACTTTGATATAATAATGGATATACCTACATTATCTTTCCAAGAAGAGACTAAAACATTAAGAAAATCTGATACGTAGTTGTCATTAAATATAACATTAATTATTTCTACTTTTTTAATTTGAACTGTAGTTGCAATCAGCTACACCGAAATAGCCCTTTTGAAGCCCTATCAAATACATTTCTATTTGCTATCTGCACATAAAACTTCTGGGCCGGTTTTCCTTTTTCCACATAATTTTTAAAAGTCTTCATATTCGTGGTATATTTAATTTCAATAATACTGTCTTCACAGATTCTATCAGGCGATCCTGCTATCGTGGGATAGTTTTTGCAAAGCATTATACTACATTTTATTAATTTTTTCCCCAAACTGGTACTTCTCACTTCATCCTCCAACATTCTATCGCGTTTCATGGCCGATGCGTCTAATATTTTTCCTCCCATTATTAACATGATCAGAGTTGCATCATTGGTTTTTCTAAATTCAAACGCTCGTGAGGCTGTCACTCTGCCATATCTTAACTCATGCCAAAAACAGCTTTGATGCTGGTCTCGTCTCTGCTTCAACTTTCCTGTCATCTTCATCAGTCAATACGAGTTTTTTTCAAAAATGTGTCGCAGGATTGTTTATATCTCAACACCAATTTATGCATGGATACACTTTTGATCACAAACATAGTCTTTTTGATATTTTATTAATTCACAGCTTCATTTTCTTTCCATATTTTAAAAACTTTTCAAGTACCTAACGTTTCCAGGTTATGGTTTTGGTAACACAAAACTAAGCAAGTGAAAGTTGGGAAACACAAAATATTTAAACGAAGATAAATACTGCGGATATTGTCGAAGTACAAATGACACAAAATGACATTTACATAGATGTGACGTAATTCGCTCTGATTGATGTTCAACCTATCATGGCGGTTTGCTGCATTTTGTAGTTTTATTTTATCAAAAATATTATCAGTCTCGCTTATAATATAGAAATAACGTTTTTTATAATCCATGAACAATGTTTCATTAGATAAATACATAATTTTAGTGATTCTTGGTTACTGTCATCATGCCTATTACCGTAAAAACAATTTCTATTTGATGCAAAAAGAGCGAATTCCCCATTGGCTTTTGCCGGACCCTGGGACAATTTGTTTATAACGCCGTTTTGCACGTCCTACGTTGTTAGTTGTAAAGGGCAACTTAATTTAAACTTTTTGAAATTTTTCTTTTTCGATACGTTTCTTTGGATCAATTAAAAACTATATCTACGATATTAACATCTAAAAGTAAAGGCCCCCACAGACACACGTTATTTTTGGCAGTTTTACCCGTACAGTTTAAACACGAACAACGGTAACAGCCACACACTAGACGTGTTTTTTGTTCAGTTTTTTTTTAAATCGTGGTGTCATTAACATCAACCGTTCTGTGATGGAATATTCGACAACACTGGCAGTAGCGGCGGCAATTGCTATAAAATTTAAATCTAAAAACAAAAAAAAAACGTTCAAAATGGGTTAAAGAATGGTTACTTAAAAGAAAACAATTTTCACACGTTAATCTTTTGCATGAATTACGACTAGAGCCGGGAGATTGGTTTAATTATTTGCGAAAGGACGAAGAAACTTATTTAGAGCTGCTTACTTTAGTAACACCATTAATTCAAAAACAAGATACCTTAATGAGGCAAAGTATTACACCGCATGAGCGTCGTACCGCTTCACTTAGATTTCTTGCTACTGGCAGAAGTTACGAAGACCTAAAAAAAAAACCTAAAGTGAAGTCGCAAAATACAAAAAATGCACTGCAAAAGACTAGCACTTCACTGAAAAAAAAGGTCCTTTTTAACCGCGTCGTCACACACACGTACCGACTTGAACGAACATGTTCAAAACGGACGGTTTTAATCAAGCTGGGACAGATATTCTTAAACGCGGGGAAGAACGACGGTTTTTAGCCACACACCGGCAGTTTTACCCGTACAGATAAAACTGTACGGGTAAAACTGCCAAAAAGAACGTGTGTCTGTGGGGGCCTTAACGTTTAGTAATTAAACAATTAGTTGCAAAAAACAAACGAAATTAATTAACAGATACTTGGAACGATAATTTCACGGTCAATCGAATCGGCCTTTGGCACATATGTTGTTCTTTGGATTGACCGTCTTTTCCATAAATATTATCAAAATCCATCGCTTTTTGCAATAATACTGCGCAATTTTCGATAACTGAATTTTTCGTGTTCGACTTTTATTTTACAGTTAACAAATAGGTGAAAAGATAGAAAAAGACTTGAGGTGAAAAAACGCGTAACTTTACTACTTATTTACAATTTGCCAACTTAGCGCCACTTCTTTCGTGTTATTTTTTTTTATATTATCATTCTACATACCCTTCCCCGTCATAAAGTGCAATAAAAGGTATACTAATAATTTTTTCACGTTGAAACACTAATTCGACTGGAGTATAGCCAAACCTTACCTTTAACGAGTTCTAAAGGTGACCTTCGTTACACCTAATGATACTACCGGCTGTGACACCTCATAAATCGATCTGTATGAATTATAGCCTTAGTTCCTAACATTAGTTTGTTCATTATACGCGTTCAATTCCTCTGACTCTAATTTACAAATTCATAGTTCACGAATTTTGCAAGCAAGGCGTATTGTTGCAAATATAAGTTTCAAAATAAATTTAATCAGACTGAAAAGTCAAATATTCAATTTAAACTACATTATACAATTAAATTGCTTATACAGGGTGTTCCAATTAAAACTTGCCACCTGGAAAATATCGGAATTAAAAAAAAAAAACAAAAAAAAAACTGAGTCGCGTCG